AAAAAAAAAAAAAAGCCTGGGCGCAGTGGCTCATGCCTGTAATCCCAGCACTTTGGGAGGCCAAAGTGGGTGGATCACAATGTCAGGAGTTCAAAACCAGCCTGGCCAATATGGTGAAACCCCGTCTCTACCGAAAATACAAAAAATTAGCCGGGTGTGGTGGCACGAGCCTGTAGTCCCAGCTACTTGGGAGGCTGACGTGGGAGAATTGCTTGAACCCAGGAGGTGGAGGTTGCAGTGAGCCCAGGTCATGCCACTGCACCACTGCAGCCTGGGCAACAGAGTGAGACTGCATCTGAAAGAAAGAAAAAGAAAGAGAAAGAAAGAGAGAGAGATGAGAGAGAGAGAAAGAAAGAAAAGAAAGAAAAGAAAAGAAAGAAAGAAAGAAAGAAAAGAAAAGAAAGAAAAGAAAAGAAAAAAAAGAAAAGAAAAGAAAAGAGAGAAGAGTGGCTCCATCTGGGCAATTCCCAGAAAAGGGGATGGGAGAGCAGGGTTGCCTAATACCAAGCCTGATAATGGGAGATCAGCCTTGGCTACCAGTGACAGAGACCTCAAAGGCAGAGTACTGGCCCTAAAGCCCTAAGGGGCACACACCGCTGCTGAAGGCCAATTGTCTCATCTGGGTGGGAAGGCAGTGGCCCCTTTGTTTTTTTGTTTTGTTTCGTTTTGTTTTTTGAGACGGAGCCTCGCTCTGTTGCCCAGGCTGGAGTGCAGCGGTGCCATCTCAGCTCACTGTAACCTCCACCTCATGGGTTCAAGCGATTCTCCCACCTCAGCCTCCTGAGTAGCTGGGATTACAGACACCCACCATCATGCCTGGCTAATTTTGGTAATTTTACTAGAGATGGGGTTTCACCGTATAGGCCAGGCTGGTGTCAAACTCCTGACCTCAGGCAACCCACCCACCTTGGCCTCCCAAAGTGCTGGTATTACAGGTGTGAGCCACTGTACCTGGACGACAGTGGCCCCTTTATACCTATCTTCAGGCAGACCCTGGGGCCTGTAGGCCTGTTTCTGCTCTGAACACGTTGATCCATAGCTCATCTTGCAGTCTCCTAGCTGTACTCTGGAGGAGGCCTGTGGGCAGATAGGGATAGGAAGGCCCAAACCGCCCAGCCCCAAATTCTGCCCCCACCTGCAGCCCCAACACAGCCTTGATTTACCCTCTTACACATCAAGGCAGGTGGGCCTGGCAGGGCCTGGAACTGTCTCTGGTAGGAAGTCCCATCTTGTCTCTTGTAGTCCCACTTGAGGGTGTTGGGGCCCCCTTAGGATAGGAATGAGAGGGGAGGAAAGAGAGAGAGCGAGAGAGAGACAGAGAGAGAGACAGAGAGAGAGAGACTGAAATTCCCTGCCATGTCAAGCCCTCTGGAATTCCGTTTCTTGCCTGGGTAGGGGAACTGGGCCATTCTGAACAGTGTAGACTAACAGCTGTCTGGCAAACACCACAAGATAAAAATAAATTGTACTAAAAGCCAGATGTAATGGCTCATGCCTATAATCCCAGCTATTCAGGAGGCTGAACTGGGAAGATGGCTTGAGCCCTGGAGCTTAAGACCAGGCTGGGCAACACAGCGAGACCCTCATCTCTATAATAATCAATTTAAAAATATGGCTGGGTACAGTGGTTCATGCCTGTAATCTCAGCACTTTGGGAGGCCAAGGCAGGTGGATCACCTGAGGTCATGAGAGCAAGACCAGCCTGACCAATATGGTGAAATCCCAATCTCTACTAAAAATATAAAAATTGGCCAGGCGTGTTGTTATGCGCATGTAGTCCCAGCTACTCAGGAGACTGAGACAGGAGAATCGTTTGAACCCAGGAGGCAGAGGTTTCAGTTAGCCAAGATGGTGCCACTGCACTCCAGCCTGGGCCACAGAGCAAGACTCCATCTCAAAAAACAAAACAAAACAAAAAAAGTAAAAGCATATCTACCAAGGACTGTATCGAGCCACACATAGGTTAAGTGCATCGCATCTTCTTATTGGACCTGGTCTCTCTCTCTCTCTCTCTCTCTCTCTCTTTGGAAACGGAGTCTCGCTCTGTGGCCCAGGCTGGAGTGCAGTGGCACAATCTTGGCTTATTGCTATCTCCACCTCCCAGGTTCAAGCAATTCTCCTGCCTCAGCCTCCAGAGTAGCTGGGATTACAGGTGCCCACCACCACGCCCAGCTAATTTCTGTATTTTTAGTAGAGATGGGATTTCACCAGGTTGGCCAGGCTGGTCTCCAACTCCTGGCCTCAAGTGATCCACCTGCCTTGGCCTCCCAAAGTGCTGGGATTACAGGTGTGAGCCACCGTGCCCAGTTGCATCTTCTTCTCTTGGACCTGGTAACATTTCTCTTATGTTACAGCCTCCTTGAGGCTCAGAGAGGTTAAGGAACTTGCCAGAAATCACAGAAACTAGGAACCACAACTAAATGTCAGATCAGGCTTTGACAATCCCTGAGTCCATCTTAGAGGGGCCTCTGAGCAGTAATGCTCACCCAAAGGGTCCCTGGAGTGACAGAATTGGAAAAATCACACAAATGGCAGCTACTCTTTGTTGGGTGCTCTCTGCATCAGACACACCATGCACATTCAGTTTTACCAGAGCCTATGAACTGGGCCCTATGATTGCACCCATTTTGCAGATGGGGAAACAGGCTTGGAGAGGTCAACTTGCTCAGACTCCCACAGCTACTAAGGTGATAGGGCTGGGGGATGTGGGGAGGAGGGTGTGCAGTTGGAGAACTTAGCTGATTTGTCTGACCCCCAACTGGCATTCATGACTTCTGCCAACTGCACACCACTGTGGACAGATTCGGAGGATATACCCACTCTACTCATGCTGAAACTGAGGCGAAAGGTGGTCCCAGGGTTTCTGAGCCTTGGTGTAATTGACATTTGGGGCTGGCCAATTCTCTGCTGTGGGGGCTCCCCTGTCTGTGGTAGGGTACTTGACAGCATCTCTGGCCTCTACCTGCTGTCTGCTGGTAGCACCTCTGTCGTCTTTTTTTTTTTTTTTAATTTTTATTTTGTAAGGGCTGGGCTCAGTGGCTCATGCCTGTAATCCCAGCACTTTGGAGACCAAGGCAGGTGGATCACTTGAGCCCAGGAGTTCAAGACCTGCCAGAGCAACATAGTAGGACGGCAGCTCTGCAAATAAGTACAAAAAATTAGCTGGGCTTGGTGGCATGCATGTCTGCAGTCCCAGCTACCTGGGAGGCTGAGGTGGGAGAATCGCTTGAGCTGGGCAGATCCAGTCTGCGTGAGCCGAGATGGTGCCACTGCATTCCAGCCTGGGTGACAGAGTGAGACACTTTCTTAAAAAAAAAAAATTGTATATAATAAAAAATAACTTAAGATTTTTATTTTGTAGAGATGAGTCTCCCTATGTTGCCCAGGCTGGTCTCTAATTCTTGGCCTCAAGAGATCCTCCTGCTTAGGGCTCCCAAAGCATTGGGATTATAGGTGTGAGCCTGGCCTCGCCCCTCCAGTCTTTTTTTTTTTTTTTTCTTTTTGAGATGGAGTCTTGCTCTGTCTCCCAGGCTGGAGTGCAGCGGCACAACCTCGGCTCACTGCAACTTCCGCCTCCTGGGTTCAAGCGATTCTCCTGCCCCAGCCTCCCGAGTAGCTGGGATTACAGACACCCGGCACTGCACCCGACTAATTTTTGTATTTTAGTAGAGACGGGGTTACATATTGGCCAAGCCGGTCTCGAACTCCTGACCTCAAGCGATCCACCCGCCTCGGACTCCCAAAGTGCTGGGATTACAGGTTTAAGCCACCGCGCCCAGCCACCCCGCAAATCCTGAACCACCAAAAGCGTTTCTAGACATTGCCAAATGTTCCCACGGGCGCGCGCTCACCGAGGTGGCAACTGGGCGCTCGGGGCTGCGGGCGCGCGTCGTGGGGTGGAAAGAGCGCCTGGTGCGTGGTGGGCGGGATGCGCAGCTTGTCGCGGTCGCCGGTCGGCAGGGAGTCGCGGTCGAAGATGAGGCGAGCGCCGCGGATCTGCTCTCCGGCGCGCGCCGGCAGCTCGGGCCAGTCGTAGGCGGCGCGCGCGCTGGAGAGGCCGATCCCGGCGTGCGCGTCCTCGCGCAGGTGCAGGTTGCTGGCCTGCATGGCGAGCGTGCGTTCCCGCGCCTGCGCCCGCTGCAGCTCCCACGGCGGCGTGGACGGAGGCGGGAACGCGCGGCGCGCCTCTGACACGCGCTCTTCCTGGTCCCAGCGCTGGTCCAACTGGAAGAGCAGCGCGGGTGGCGGCTGCAGGCTCGGCGGCTCCCGGGTGGTACCCGGGTAGGCGAAGTCCCGGTGCGTCGTGGTGAGCATGGTGCCCTCGTGAAGCCGCAGGTCGGGCCCCAACGAGAAGTGCGACGCCTTGAGGAAGTCCAGCTGGGACATGGGGCACCGGCGCGGGCACGGCAGGAGGGCGTCTGCGGCCATCGCGGGACACCAGCCACCTGCGAGAGGGTGGAGACGAGGGGCTGAGCAAGTGCCCACCCAGGACAATGCTGCCTTTCACTCCTTTCTGTGCGCCAAGCACTGAGCTGGGGGCTGGAGACATCACGGGAAACTGGCACAGCCTCTGTGCCCGCCCCCAGGGAGAGCAGAGATAGAAATAATCATTCATGGCCGGGCGCGGTGGCTCACGCCTGTAATCCCAGCACTTTGGGAGATCCAGGCAGGTAGATTACCTGATGTCAGGAGTTCGAGACCAGCCTGGGCAACATGGTGAAACCCCATCTCTACTAAAAATTAAAAAACAGCCTGGAGTGCTGGTGAGCGCCTGTAGTCCCAGCTATTCGGGAGGCTGAGGCAGGAGAATCGCTTGAACCCTGGAGGCGGAGGTTACAGTGAGCCAAGATTGGGCCTCTGCATTCCAGCCTGGGTGACAGAGTGAGACTCTGTCTCAAAAAAAAAGAATTAGAAGAAAATAAATATTCATGTGGTGCCTACTGTAGGCCTGGCATACAGTAGGCACCACATAAATGATTATTTCTGTCCCTGGGCCTGGAGGCCAGTGAGGGTGGGGAACTAATGTTAGTTCACAGAACAGACCTAGATCCCTGCCTCTGTGGAATTGATAATGGGGCAGGAGATGACAGACAATAATTAAAAAATAAAACAACAAAAATTGAAGAGTAGGTGAGAAAGTAATAGCTGGGTACTGTGGCTCACACCTGTAATCCAGGCACATTGAGAGGCCAAAGCGAGAGGGTTGCTTGAGTCCAAGACCAGCTTGGGCATAGTGGCACCCCGTCTACACACACACACACACACACACACACACACGCACACTAGCCAAGTGTGGTGGACTCAACCTCTTGGGCTCAAGCAATCCTCCCACCTCAGTCTCCTGAGCATCTGGAACTATAGGTGTGCACCACCGTGCACGGCTAATTCTTTCTTTTTCTTTTCTTTTTTTCTTTTTTTTTTTTTTTTTGAGACAGGGATCTCGTTTTGTTGCTCAGGCTGGTCTCAAACTCCTGGGATCAAGCAATCCTTCTGTGTCAGCCTCTCAAAGTGCTGGGATTACAGGTGTGAGCCACTGTGCTTGGCCCGGGGAGGTTTTAACTACTGCTTCACAGAAGACATTGAGGCTCAGGGGGGTGGCCATTTGCTTGAGATTTGAACACAGGGCAACTCTGATTCTGGAACTTGGAGAATTAACTACTGCATTCTATTGTATGTCTGATATGAGATCCCCGTCTTCTCGCCCTCAGTCAGTTATCAAGGCCACGGTTTTCTCCTTCTTCCCCTCTGGGGACTCATTTTTGTTCCCTGCCCAACTCCAGCCCTGCACCCCAGCCACTGGCCATTTCTGCCACGCACTTTCTCCCCTTCCTTCCTTCCTTCCTTCCTTCCTTCCTTCCTTCCTTCCTTCCTTCCTTCCTTCCTTTCTTTCCTCTATTTCCTTCTTTCTTTCTCTTTCTTTCTTTCCTTCCTTTCCTTCCCTTCCCTCCCTCCCACCCTCCCTCCCTCCCTTCCTTCCTTCCTTCCTTTTCTTTCTTTCTCTCTTTCTTTTCTTTCTTTCAGACACAGTCTTACTCTGTTGCCCAGGCTGGAGTGCAATGGCGCGATCTTGGCTCACTGCGACTTCCACCTCCCAGTTTCAAGCGATTCTCCTGCCTCAGCCTCCCAAGTAGCTGGGATAACAGGTGCCCACCACCATGTCCAGCTGATTTTTGTATTTTTAGTAGAGATGGGGTTTTACCACATCGGTCAGGCTGGACTCAAACTCCTGACCTTAAGTGATCTGCCCACCTCGGTCTCCCAAAGTGTTGGGATTACAGGCGTCAGCCACTGAGCCCAGCCTGTCACGCGCTTTATTACTGGTTTTCCCGTCCTCTGCAAGTGTCCTAGGTTTTGCCTAGTCTTCTCAATCTCTTCCTGTCTTCACACTTTCTGAGAGTTCTTCTTCACACTCTCTGACCTTCAGCTTCAGACTCTAAGCCTCTCCCTACCCTCCGCCTCTGCTCAGCCGCCTGGGACCTTCTTGCCTTTGCTTAGATCACAAGTGTCTCCCCTGCTCTCCTCTCTGTCTCCCTTGGAGACCAGCATTCCAGGTTCTCAGGATCACCTCCTGCAGAACACCTCCCAGATCACTTCAACCCACAAAATCTGCTCACCTCTACCTATTTAGAAAACATGACTCAGACAGGCTCAGTGGCTCAGGCCGGTAATCCCAGCACTTTGGGTGGCTGAAGTGGGTGGATCACTTGAGGCCAGGAGTTTGAGACCAGCCTGGGCAACATGGTGAAACTTCATCTCTACTAAAAATACAAAAATTAGCCGGGCATGGTGGCATGCGAGTCTCCTTCCTCAGCCTCCCAAGTAGCTGGGACTACAGGTTCGTGCCACCGCACCTGGCTAGTAGTTTGTATTTTCAGAAGAGATGGGGTTTCACCGTGTTAGCCAGGATGGTCTTGATCTCCTGACCTAGTGATCTGCCTGCCTTGCCCTCCCAAAGTGCTGGGGTTAGAGATGTGAGCCACCATGCCTGGCCTGCCTCTGGGGTTTTGTCTGGTTGTTTTTTTTGAGGTAGGGTCTCGCTATGTTGCCCAGGCTGCAGTGCAATGGCGTGATCTCAGCTCACTGAGATCTCAGCTCACTCCTGCTTTAGCCTCCTGAGTAGCTGGGATTATAGAGGCTTGTCACCATGTCTGGCTAATTTTTGTGTTTTTAGTAGAGATGGGGCTTAGCTATGTTGGCCATGCTAGTCTCGAACTCCTGACCTCAGGTGATCTGCCCATCTTGGCCTCCCAAGGTGTTGGGATTACAGGCGTGAGCCACTGCGCCCAGCCTCCCTCTACCTTCTACACACGCCACACAGAATGGACCCATTTCCCTGAGTCACTGCACCCCTTAATATTATTCGAGGGCTCACAGGTCTCCAAGGGGTCTTTTAAAGGGGTCAGTCACCCCTCCTCCTGCAGCCACAGACCACCAGGAATGTACCTGTGATTGAAAACATTCAAGCTTATTACTCATTAAAGAGAGAGAGAAAAAAAGGGAGAGCTCAAACATGCCATAGGCACTATGGGGGTTTAAGTAGGAAGGTGTTAGAAGGCACTTATCATGGGGCCAGGCGTGGTGGCTCACGCCTGTAATCCCAACACTTGGGAGGCTGAGGCGGATGGATCATGAGGTCAGGAGTTTGAGACAAGCTTAGCCAACATAGTGAAACCCCATTTCAACTAAAAATACAAAAATTAGCCAAGTGTGGTGGGCGCCTGTAATCCCAGCTATTCAGGAGGCTGAGGCAGGAGAATCGCTTGTACCCAGGAGGCGGAGGTTGCAGTGAGCTGACACCATGCCACTGCACTCCAGCCTGGGTGACAGAGTGAGACTCTATCTCAAAAGAAAGAAAGCAGTTATTATGGGATTTGCAATTCTGTTAGGTGTTTTAGGGGCATGGCTTAAGGAAGGGGGGATTTGGGTGGGATGAATTTATTGGTTGGAATTTTTACTTTCTTTTCTGAGATGAGCAGATAAACACAAATAAACACACAAGTGAGGCATGATGGCTCACATTTGTAATCTCAGCCTCCCAAAGTACTGTGCAGAAAAGGGCTGTTGTGGCTAGATGAGGTGGCTCGCACCTGTAATCCCAGCACTTTGGGACGCCAAGGTGGGCAGATCACTTGAGGCCAGGAGTTTGAGACCAGTCTGGCAAATGTAGTGAAACCCCATCTCTACTGAAAGTACAAAAATTATTTTTGTATTTTCAAGGCGGGCTTGGTGGCAGGCGCTTGTAATCCTAGCTACTCAGGAGGCTGAGGCAGGAGAATCGCTTGAACCCAGGAGGTAGAGGTTGCAGTGGGCCGAGATTGGGCCACTGCACTCCAGCTTGGGCGATAGAGCAAAACTCTGTTTTCAAAGAAGAAGAAGAAAAAAAAAAAAGCAGCAAAAGAGGCCAAGTGCAGTGGCTCAGACCTGTAATCCCAATACTTTGAGAGGCTGAAGTGGGAGAACTGCCTGAGCCCAGGAGTTTGAGACCAGCCTGGGCAACACTGGAAGACCCATCTCTACAAAAATTTTAAAATAAGCCAGGTGTGGTGGTGTGTGCCTATAGTCTCAGGGACTTAGGAGGCTAAGGTGGGATGATTGCTTAAACCCAGGAGGTTGAGGCTGTAGTGAGCTGTGATTGTACCACTGCACTCCAGCCTGGGTGACAGAGTGAGATTCTATCTCAAAACAACACAAAAGACCAGCTAGGGAGAGAGG